AATGCTTTCAACTAGGGAACGTTCAAGTCCATTTATTTTTTTTCTCGCAAAATATTGGTACGATATCTCTAAGATGTGTAATTGAAAATCAATAACACAGGATTGGGAAGCTGGTGTAGGTAAAACGCAAGATCTTTCCACATTGCTTAAATTTATGGAAAGCCTGTGATTAATGCTGGAAGAGGATAAAGCTTATTTTGGTAAGTCAAAATTTGTAAACAAATAATGTCGAGATTCAATTTGCGCTCCCTAATAAAATAAATACCATTCGTTTTAGTATGCTGCTTTAAAGCGCGCAATTTTAAATTTTTGTTAAATTGCATATCTGAGAAAATTTGCTTGATTAGGTGGTCAGCCCAATTTTACCTCTAAAATGCGCAATAAGCTTGGTCTAGCCACCAAGTAAGGTTAATAAAATATTGCTCACATGCATAACTACTTCATAAGTCACTCATTCGTTACAAGTCATTCACAATTTTATACGCAATTGGTAAATAAACTAAAAGAAAATTTGGTTTTCAAAAAAATTGCGAACTTATTGTTGACTTATATTTTTAATAAATGCCTACATATTGGTCTATACTTTTATCATTTCTCATGGCAAATGAAAATGTCCAGCCGAAACTCAACAATACAAACTTTTTGCCAGGTTGACATGGTGAAATTAATTGAGCTCAGTGTTGGCTTAAATTATATTCTTCCTTTTTATGGCCAATTTCCATATAAGACTCTTAAGATGTAAGCAGACAAATTTAGTCGGTTGCATGACAGCTATTGAGAGATGGCTCGAATTTTATTTGATAATTGCATGTCTGCAAAAATTATAGGCATGAATAAAGTTCAACTAGACAGTGTTAAAATGATTTTGTTTACAGCTATTCCATTCTAAATGAGAATCATATTCTAAGCAATAATTTTAAACTATATTTAATTTACCAATTTTTTCAATTCATAATTATAGTTCATTAAAAAATGCTAGAATTGTAAATTATACAAATTTGTCGCTTCTACATTAAAAAATCTTGAATAAATTAATTTTTGAACTTCCATTAAATTTTAGAAAGTGAATTTATTAATCATATTCATTAGTTAATATAAACTAACTTAAATTAATAGCTAGTATTGATGATTAATAACTTTTACATTGAAGAAGTGACCTACAATACAGGATACATCGTTCAATTTCTTCATATATAATCCATATAATGACAAATAATTGATGAAATAAAAGGGAATCGTTCATCCATTGTGAGACATCAGTCGGTCTGAGTAACTATTTTCAAATTTTTTGTGTTATTTTGAACTCGGTTAAAGCGAAATTATAGGAAATATTGATAATCAAATTTGTACTCCTAAATTTCCCGACAATATAAGAGCGACGTATAAAATTTGAGAGCGATCGTATCATGCTCTCCTCTTCGTTCAATTCCCACTTTTTTCTCTTTCCCTCGATCTTAATCTATTTTCCACCAGTACTGCACAGAATAATTTGATTTACTCCCCTTTTCTTCGTCATTATTTTCGATACCTCTGTCGGCATGAATAGCCTTTACAATTCCATAAACTTCTCTAATTTTGCGCGCTGAATTTTAATCTTGGGAATAGGTTGGATGAAAAGAGATTACTTTAAGTACCATGGGGTGTGTGATAGACTAACCTCCACGTCGTGAACCATGGGAAACCTATATTCAAAAAGCAAAAAAGTCTATTAACCGGCAGTTGACTTCTGACTTCGACAAAAAAGTCTATTAACCGGCAGTTGACTTCTAAATTCAAGCTACCGTGACCTCACTGTATGGCATATTCGACCACTTCCACTGTGCGGCAAAAAAGTCTATAAACCGGCAGTTGACTTCTCACTATCGGCAAAAAAATTCTATTAACCGGCAGTTGACTTCTGACTTCAACGCAAAAAGGTCTATTAACTGGCAGTTGACTTCTCACTTCACAAAAAAGTCTAAAACCCGGCAGTTGACTTCTCACTTCAAACTACCATCACCCCCACTGTGTCATATTCGACCTCTACCACAGTACTCACCTCACCTTTCCATATTCGACCACTTCTATAGTACTCATCTTTCCCTTTCTGAGCCTTGGTGTTTGTCCTTTTTCTTTTACATCTGTAAATCACTCTTCTGTTCCCCTCCTGAATTCTTCTCCCCTATGTGAGGCCCGAAGTCAAATAAAGGGCTTATGATAATATCAATACGCCTGTCATTTGTTATAAATATTTCAAGATTTATGACCTGGTGATTTAATTAACTAGTTGGTTTCGGAGCTCTACTTCTATTTCAAATTCTTACACAATATTATTACTATACAAAGCACCTCAATAGGGGCAGAGCTCTTACCCCTAAATTTCTCTTCAATTTGAGCCTCTGTTTTTACCATTGTGGATTGGGTCAATTAGTGCTTCTAAATTAGAAGGTCTTTGGAAACAATAATATATAGAAAGCATTGAATAATGGCTTCTGCTAATATTAAAAAGGATTTTGTTATCGATACAGAATATGTGGTATTGTATATGGAATTTGAGGTCAATTTTTTTCTTGTCTTTAACCAAGAGATTCAAGTATTTTGGTATAATGAGGAAAAGTGTTAAATTTGCGAATAGTTTAATTTTATCAGTTAGCCTAATGCCTAATTGAAAAGGAAACGGATGATTGGACGCGTTTATTCCGCCTGCCCACACACTGACCTTTCCTAGCCCCTCCCCCCCCCCCCCCCACACATCTTCCTTTCCCTCTCCACCCTACGCCTACACCCTCCACCTCAGCACAACACAGAAAGTGCAAGCGTGCCAAGGTTTTCTCGCTTCTTATCCCCATAGCAATGTGCCAATAATTATTCTACTTCCGATGCAGCCCAATCGATGCGCACTTCAGGCAATCCTATTGGCTACTGTCCGCATTGCCAAATTCCTATTGGGAGCCCATAATGGTCGGTTCCCATTTCAGTTAAAAACGCAGGCAGAGTCGAAATTATTTTGCCTGCCTTAGCACAACAACAACACAGTCATGTCCAACGTCCCACCGCCTTCTGGTCTTAGCTATCAAGTTAAAAAGAAGGTTTGTATTTTGTTTGAAATGGTTAAACAAGTCCCTCTCTCCCCCCTCCCCCCTTAATTAGCTCGAAGGAAAGCGTGACAAAGAGCAAGAAGAGCAGGTCCTAACATGGATCGAAACACTCACGGGACTCAAGCTCGACCACTCAAAGCCCTATGAGGACATCCTTAAAGACGGCATTGTGCTGTGCAAGTACGTCACTCGACTTTGAAGTATTCTTAAAACT